CAGGAAAGCCAAGGCTGCGATGGAACTCCAGCTACCTACAAATATCAAGGACAATAAAAAGTCCTTTTTTAGATATGTGGAGAGCCGGAGGAAAAGCAAAGGCAACATTGGACCCCTGCTGAACCAGATGGGACAACTGACAATTGATGCCCATGAAAAAGCAAACTTGCTAAATGGGTACTTTGTGTCAGTTTTTCACAAGTCCCATGGGAAGCCCCTGCCCACTGTGGGTCAGGGAGACCCGGGTGAGAGAGATTCCTTGCCCCGCATCAAAGCTGGAATACCTTGACAGGCTGGATACCTTCAAGTCAGCTTGCCTGGCCCTGATGGATTACACCCAAGGGTAGTCAAGGAGCTGGTAAGCATCATAGCTCAGCCCCTGGCATGGATCTTTGAGAACTCTTGGTTCTCTGGTGAAGTGCCCATAGATGCTTCTCAAGCAAATCCCGGGACATCATTCTCCCATTGTACTTGGCCTTGGTGAGGCTGCAGCTGAAGTACTGAGTTCAGTTTTGGGCTCCACAATTCAAAAAGGATGTGGAGAAGCTTGAGAGAGTGCAGAGGAGAGCCGCACGCATGATCAGAGGTCAGCAAAACAGACCTTATGATGAAAGGCTGAGAGCCATGGGACTCTTCAGCCTGGAAAAGCACAGGCTCAGGGGTGCTTTGGTGGCCACCTATAAGCTTATCAAGGGTGCTCATCAGGATTTGGGGGAACATCTGTTCACCAGAGCGCCCCAAGGGATGACAAGATCAAATGGTCACAAACTCCACAGTGCCCGATTCAGGCTGGACATAAGAAAGAACTTCTTTTCTGTCCGAGCCCCCACGGTTTGGAATAGATTGCCACTGGAGGTGGTTCAAGCACCCACTTTGAATGCCTTCAAGATACGTTTGGATGTTTATCTTGCTGGGATCCTACGATCCCTGCTGACTTCCTGCCCCTGGGACAGGGGGCTGGACTCGGTGATCCTCTGGGGTCCCTTCCAGCCCAAATGTCTATGAAATCTATGAACTGCTTGAGCACTCATGGTGCTTGGGACAGGTCCCTGAGGATTGGAAAAGGGCCACTGTGGTCCCTATTTTCAAGAAGGGGAGGAAGGAGGAACCAGGTAACTATAGGTCAGTTAGTCTCACCTCTATCCTTGGCAAGACCTTTGAGAAAATTGTTAAGGATCACATTTGTGGGGGACCAGTGGGTCAAATGTTGCTAAGGGGCAATCAGCATGGGTTCATAGCAGGCAGATCCTGCCGGACTAACCTAGATTCATTTTACAACCGGGTCACAAAATGCTTGGATGAAGGAATAGAGGTAGATGTTATTTACTTAGATTTTAAAAAGGCCTTTCACACAGTGTCACGCCCAGTTCCCATAAATAAATTAAACAGTTGCAATGTAGATTATTACACAGTCTGGTGAGTAGAAAATTGGTTTATGGGACCCACCCAGAGAGTGGTGGTGGATGGGTTGGTTTCTACCTGGACAAATGTGGGCAGCGGAGTCCCCCAAGGCTCTGTCCTGGGACCGGTACTATTCAATATCTTCATTAGTGACTTGGACGAGAGAGTAGAAAGCACCCTGTCCAAGTTTGCTGACAACACCAAACTATGGGGGAAGGTACACAAACTAGACAGCAGAGGGCAAATCCAGAGGCCTACAGAAAAAAACATATGTGGGCCTATTGGGAGACCTGAACCTCTTCAGCCTCCGCAAGAGGAGGCTGAGAGATGATCTCTTGTCCAAACTCATCGGGGGGGGGGAGCAAGAAATAGGGGATACAGTGTTTACCAGGGTGCCTGTTGAGGTAACTAGAAAAATGGCCACAAACTGGAAGAGAGCAAATTTAGATAGGACATCAGGGAAAAATTCTTTACAGTGAGGGTTGCCAAAATATGGAATAAGCTTCCAACGGAGGTGGTGCTGTCCCTTTCCTTGGAGGTGTTTAAAAGGAGATTGGACAAACATCTGGCTGGGGTCATCTGAGCCCAGCACTCTTTCCCGCCCAGGCCAGGGAGTTGGACTCAATGATCTAATAGGTCCCTTCCAACCCTAACATATATGAAACTATGGAATTTGAACTGGTTTCTAATCACTTATACCGGTCTATGTGTAACTTCCTGAATATCATCTTTTTGTTTAGTTTAAATGGAGGTAACTTGCCCTCAACTGAGCGCAGAAGCAAGCACGCCGTATTTCGTCACCACATCCTATCTCATCACCAATAGCGCTTTTGCTCCACTTAGACAGCACAAGGGCTGAATATGCGTGACTATCCCAGCACAGTGTTCCTCTCATTGCTATGTAATGGCCAATACAGACTTGTCCTGTGGCTCCACTCCTTACAAAGCTCCTCCATCTAGTCCTGTAGTATGGAGAGACAGCATTATACAATATTCAAGTCACATTCCTGTTAGCTTGCAATCTACATGAATAACAAATCAATTTTGTATAAAGCCACTAATATGGGAATGAAAATGAATTATTAGCAGTGTAGAACAAAAATAACCTTCAATGAACATTGCTAATTAATAGCATGTTCAACACAGCACATTCCAGATCCAAAGATGTAAAAGCAGAGGCAGCTCTTGAGCTTAGATGTTAGCAGTAAACATATGACATTATCAAGTGAAATAAAGAAGTCTCTCTCACAGCTTAGTCAGACCATTTCTTTTGCTGGTTTTTTTGTGCTCTCACCTTCTTTCCTATCTGAAAACATTGAAGCCTGCATACTAGAATGATATATTTTTCATAGCAAGTGTTGCCCAATGCACAAGGCCAAAACAAGGCTGTCACCAGATTGGCCTATGCACACGTACATTTTATTGTGTACATTTTATTGTGTATTATAAAGATCAGGAGGGGACAACCTAGGTTGGAGTAAATCAAAAGTAGCCATTTCTAATATCTGTGTGGAAATGGACTACATCTTTCAATAAGCTGTCAGGTGATCCAGGCAAGGAAAAGTAGTGAGGAGGAAAAAAAAAAAGGAGCAGCAGCCTGGAGACTATCTGAATGTATAGGTTTTTCCTCTGGCAAGAGGGTAAGGTCTTAACAAGTTCTAGACTGATAAATGACAGTTTGATGGATTTGCTAAGTGCAACATTAATACAAAGGGACCTGCAAGTTCAAATAGTAACTGGGGCTAGGTGTCTCCTAGGACATGTGTAGTTGTAGCACTCCAGATTTCCAGGAAATTTGCAATACTAGAAAATGAGTGTACTGGCATTTTGCCCCCCTTGCTGGAGAGTGACAAAGTTGCCTCAGAGGCAAGCTCTTTAGCCAGGGGCTGATAATGAGCTGTGCTTTTGCTACCCCCACTTCCTTGGGACTGTGTGGGATGGTTTGTGCCATGGGAAAATATGCCCTGACCCTGGAAGTATTCAAATCATGGGGAAATGTCCACTGCCCCTTGCACAGACTTGGGTAACCCTATTGGAAGGGAGGGAGGGAGAGTGGAGGACTGGGTAACCTTATGGCCCTTAGCGAAATGTATTTATTGAAGCTAGCACAAGAAAAGTACTTGGGCCAGAAAACTTCCTGGTTTGAAGTGCTTTCAATTTTTCATAGAAGAACCAGTTTTCTTAAGTTAAAAACCACTTGAATGCCTGTATGCTAGCTTTCCATACTAAGAGAAGGGTATTTCTCTCAGCATAAACGTAATACCTATCCATAGCCAAAGCCAGTCTACAAAGGCAGTTAATATCTGATGCTTTGAGAGGAAGTAGATACACAAAAAAAGTCTTACTATGTTCCTGGTCTGTTGGATAAAACTAAACCATGAGAGAAGACCCCCAGGGGATGATCAATTTATACCTTGAGAATGAAAATCAATGCCTTTTTTAATTTTAGTCCCTCATAATGCAATAGCAGGGACTGCTATTTTTATGAATATAAAATACTATTTAAAATTTTTCTAGAATTATTTGATTCAATATTATCTTGGTCCAGAACACTATAAAAGTTCATAAAAAGTACTTCTCCAATAGGGGTTCCTCAGAGAACTACTGAACAGAGCTGGTTGGGAGGCTTCCAATAAAATGTGATTTTGTTGTCAAAAGCACCATTTTTTTTAAACAAAAACTTTTTCAGCTGAACATTTTTAGGTAGGTGTCTTAGAGTGGAGTGGAGTGGAGAGTGAGTAGAAAGTGGAGTAGAAAAAGCAAAACAGAGAAAGAGAGACCACCATCCCAAAATAATTGATAGCCCAGTAAAACAGGGCTATCAGTGTGGAAGACCCAGGTTCAAGTCTCTGATTCAGTTATTTGATCCTGTCTCTCCCACAGCATGTGTGATTGCCCTGGATGCTGCCTGTTCTAGAGTGGATGGGCATATGAGTAGAAGTATAAGAGTATTCAATATGTATATACATGACCACCAATATATGAGTGTATATCTGTGTGTGTACCCACACACACACACATATACATACATATATGTGTGTGTATACACATGCATGCACACACATACATACATAATACATACATACATAATACATACACACACACACATATATACACATGCACACACATATATATTTATATTCAACAGTTTTCAATGTTGTCTGGATAACTTAGATGTTAAGCCCTCGTCATCTTTTTTGACAGGAAATTTTCCAGCCAGACCTACCTCTGAATCTTTTAAGTAAGGGCGTTGCCTGATCTCCCACACATTCTAGGACCGCTGTATGCAGGTTATGGCAAAGTCACAAGTGAGTGTGGAGGTCAAAGGAGATGTCATTATGGAAATAAAACTGGCGTTTTCTGTTGAGCTTTGTGGCACAGCCAGCATGCTGTATAGTTTCTTGGATCCTCGGAGATCTGACACTGATAGTCAGTGTGTTGTAGTTACTGCTGGAGAAATGAGCAGTAATTCCCTGGTTCTTGGTGGGGATTAGGGGGAGGTAAAGCAGAGTTCACTCATCTGGGGAAGGGAAAACTTGGTGATCTTGCATAGCCCCTTTAGGAGCATGCTGGCAGAAACAACACTGACTTGAAAGGCTCTTTGGTGAGTTTGTTCTGCTTAATTCATTTTCAACAGCACAGTGATCTCTTCTGATCATCTTTAAATCCTTTTTTTGTGTTAAGAATGAAGTAATATACAAGATTTTTAAAATCATATCAACAAAATACAGTGTTGGTTTTGATTATCTAAATGATCTCCTCCTGATTTAGGTGTAACAATGCAGGGCACTCCAGAAATTATCAGGAAATTAACAGTAACATTATAGTGGGATCCAGGAGGTTTGGAAGACACAGCACTCTATCAGCTTGAAATAGGAGGTTATTTTAAAATAGAGCTTATTTTTTGTTTGGAGAGTAAACACAACAGAGGGGAAGTATCACCTCCCTAGACCTAAGTAGGTGCATCACAAACAGGTCTAGGAAGGTAATACTTCCCCTCTATGCGGCATTGGTCAGGCCACAGTTGGAGTATTTCATCCAGTTTTGGGCGCCGCACTTCAGGAGGGATGTGGATGGCCTGGAGAGTGTTTGGAGGAGGGCCACTCATCTGGTTAAAGGCCTACAGAAAAAACCCTATGCGGACTGATTGGGAGACCTGAACCTCTTCAGCCTCCGCAAGAGAAGCCATGGCCGCCTACAGACTCATCGGGGTGGGGAGGGGGGTCAGCAAGGAATAGGAGATACAGTGTTTACCAGGGCACCTGTCGGGGTAACTAGAAATAATGGCCACAAACTGGAAGAGAGCAAATTCAGATTGGACATCAGGAAAAAATTCTTTACAGCGAGGGTTGCCAAAATATGGAATAAGCTTCCAAGGGAGGTGGTGCTGTCCCCTTGCTTGGAGGTGTTTAAAAGAAGATTGGACAGACACCTGGCTGGCGTCTTCTGACCCCAGCACTCTTTCCTCCCTGGGGCAGGGGGTCGGACTCTATGATCTAATAGGTCCCTTCCAGTCCCTTCCGACCCTAACATCTGTGAAACTGCAACTATGGATTACTGAGAAGTCAAGCGAGCACTAAGCAGGACGTTCACAGGGTAGGGTGGGAGCTGTGGCACTTCGTGTTTTATCATGTTGATTATAAAGACTCTCAGGACCGTATGTTCTGGTGTGATGACAAAGTGTAATTCCCCTTTGGGACCATCTAATAAAAATGGTGTATTAACAGTACAGTTTACACATAAATAATATCTGTTACTTAACTGTATCGATACTTATCTTTTTTTTTTTTCCCTTTGCTTTGTTTCCCCCACTAGCACATCCATCTGTTCAGGCTCAGGAGAGGCCCACAGCAACAGTTTCCCCGCTGAGAACCCAGAGCTCTCCATCCCGTCTCCCAGGCACTGTGGTTCGGCCACACACCATGGTTTCTCCACAGCACATCCACCAGTCCCCTATCCAAGTCATTCCTGGAGCACAGTGTGCCCGACCCATCATTCCCCTCACTTCGGCAGCAGCTGCCATTACTCCTCCAAACGTGAGTGCAGCCAATCTGAACGGGGAGGCAGGAACCGGGCCAATCAGCAGCCTGGTAACTTCTAGCCCAACCAACAGTTCCTGTAAAGCCGAAGAGAGGAAAAATGAAAAGGTAAGCCCCTTCTCTCACTTAGCTTAGCAGCTGCTGAGAAGGAAGCACCATGTTTTTTTTTTTTGCTCATCTGCCACTGTCGTTCCTAACTAGCTGTCATTGGGGAAAATATGGAAGCAGAAATCCTTTATCCATGTCAAAAGACCCCCATTCCAGAGTTTCAAAAAATGTGAACAAAGAGGGATAGATATACCAGAGATGCTGCTGCCTGCCAGGTGTAGAAGCAGAAGCAGCTTTTCTTCATGCACCAGCTGGACATCCATCTCTAGCACTATTTTCAAAATTCCTGTTTTGCATCTGTTCATTGGTTATATGGCAGGCATTATCTTCTTGTAGATGAGACCAGAATATGGCTATTAATCCGTTACATTTCTATTTTCTGGCACTTTCAGTGATCGATGTCTGAGTCTTACAAATTTAAAACAGTGTAGAAAGACATTAGAGCAGGGTCTGGGGTTTCACAACCAGATGGCCAAATCAGAAACTATCTGCCTAATCACATGAAAGAAGTTATATGAGGTACAAGTCTGAGGGCTGGTAAGGGAAGCGTAATAAAACACTGACTTGTAAATGGAAGGAGCTGTTTAACAGTTCTGTAAACATCCCGATTTCTTTGATAAAATTGCATTGCCATGGCTCAGTGAAACAGAGAGAACTGGATTAGATATGACTCATTGCAGTATGTGATTGATACATTGTGGATTCAGGCTCTTAGGAATCAATGTTGGAACCAATACCTCAGTGTCTGTGCCTGAAACATGTTGGTAATGAAAGCCAGCACAAGTGCTGCTTTAAATATTCTCAGCCTGTTCAACTCTTAATAAATATTTTGCTTCTGCCCAAAGTTTATAGTTTGCTAACAGTTCCCATACAGCAACTCTAAGGGCCGTCCTCTGGACACCAGAACAGAGCCTACTCCCTGCTGGATGTAAACTATGGCTTGTATTTGAACAACATGAGAGGTGGAGAGCTTAGCTTTCCTGGGACTTAAAGAAATTCTTTCATGTAAGTTCAGTAAGCCTTTCCATAGTGACCAATGTGTATGGGGTAAACATTTACTCTGTACACAATAATACTGTGTTCGGAGATCTCCAGTGTGCTGAAGTAAACCTGGTAAATACAACATGTGGTCAGGTTCACAGATAAATGCTAGTTTCACAAAGATGAGGAATGTGTGTTTTAAAATCCTCTCCTAATCCTCTCCCTTGAAACTCCTCCTGATGTCTTTCAATAAAGAGAAAAAGGGCACAGAACTTCTGCTCTGGATCTGAATACATCCTCTGTTTCCAAAGAATGAATTCCAGACTAATACCAAACACTCTGTGATACATGACAATAGGTTGTACTTGCAAGAAATGTATTTCTTCTGTAAGCTTAGAGCAGCCTGTAGTATATTGGCAAATTCACTGGAATATCTATATATTTGGGAACGTGTTCCTCATCAGGCCTTTGTGTAATGGGAGTTTCATACTTTTTTTAAACTCAAAGCAGTATTCCAAGTTTCTGTAAGATTCCATGGTAAAATTACACAGGACAGGCTATACTGTGTTGCTTTCTAAAATGTGTGTAAATTTGTCCAAACATATATTTTAAAGATATTGAATTTGGGTAAAGGAAAATAGAAGGCATGATACTTGGATCTCCATGGACTATGAGTAGTAGGGTAACTATATATTCCTGTAATGCAAAATGTTGCTGAAAAATTATATGCTCTCTTTGAACTGCCTGAGAGGGGAAACAATAATTAAAACAATATTCTGAAATCTGTGGGGCCTGCTCTTCTCCCGCCATGTGTTTGTGGTGGAGGAGTTACATGCACATAACTGTCCTGTGCTTTGAGCAATAGGCCCCTCTGTCTATTCATATCGTCTTTCATTCTTATCTCATGAAGAGCTCTGATGTTATGATGCTCTTCCTTTTTTAGACGTGACCCTGGATGTGTCTGTAGCTCAAACCTGTTATCTGCACAGAATTATATCTAAATACCATTTTTAAAATATGTTTGGGATTTGTGGCTGGTGCCAGACATAAGGCTGCATGATACTAAAAAAGGGTTTGAGCCACAAAGCTGACATGCAGATCTGGATTCACATCTCAGCTTTCTTCATCATAAAGTTGGGCATTTCTTTATTTTAAAGAAAGAATTCAGCCATAATGCTCAGATGCAAGAGCAACCCACACTGCCTCCAAATTCAGCAGCCTTTAGTTGAAGATTTTCATTTTGAGCCATAGTCATTAGGGCTAGGGACAGAAGTTACACATAAACCAGTTTGAGTGATCAGAAACTGGTTTAAACCTGTAACAGAACAGAACCTCAGTGTGCATAAACCAGCTTGAAAATGGCCGAAACAAATTTAAGAAAAATCTAGTGGAATGTAGTATCAGACTTATCTGATTTGGGTCAACCCAGTTTATGAAACTTCTGTCCCAGACTCCTTCTTGGTTCAGGGTAAATCACAGTCTCCCAGTATCCCAGCATGCTTTCTAGCCCTGGGCTGGACTGTGCTGTCTGCTCCAGAGAGCAGGGCAGGCCCTGCCCCTCTGCTCCCTAGCTGGAGCAGTGAGGGCTGAGTGACAAGGTCGGGAGGAGCAAGCCTATCTTTCTCTGTAGAGCTGCCATCCAGCCCGGTGTCACCCATTTTGTATTTTTCATTATTCTTCCCAACCTGTAACACCTTGTATTTGTCAGCATTAAATTTCATCCTGTTGGCTCCAGCCCAGCTTTGCAATCTGTCAAGATCCTTCTGATCCTTCTGTGCTTCTGTCCTCTGACATATTCATGATGCTTCCTGGTTTAGTGTCATTGGCAAATTTACTCAGGAAGCTCTTAATTCCAGCATCCAAATGATTAATAAACACATTGAACTTGAAGGTCTGGGGACAGGAACTCCCTGAAATATCAACACAATAGATATTTCAGGGAGGAAAACAAAAAGTAGAATCAAACTGTGCTGTTTTAGGGTAGAGTTAATGTTTGAATCTCCTTCAGCTGCTGAACTAATTGAATCTTGACCTTTTAACAGGCTATGTAACCATGAAAGATTTGAAAAATTAAATGTGTTAAACTTTCTGAATACCCCATTTGGAGAGCTGAGGGGACTATAGAATGGAATTAAATCCCCATGTTGTGAAGCCAAAGGCCCTTAGCTCATCAGTCGGGATGGGTGTCATCTAGGTTCTAGTGGCAGAACGTGGCTGAGATCACGTAATTATAGCATGGTCTCTAGTTCCATCTCACCCCAATTATTCCCATTGTAACTTCTGCTACGCATAAAGTTTGGTACCTCCGATAAAACCACTTGCTTGAATGAACGAATGCATTTCTTATTAAACGTGCTCCTCGTTACATTAATCAAATCAAGCAAATCACTCTGGGTAGCTTGACCACTCTAATTAAACTTTTTGTAAAAATCCACTGATTTGGCTTTCGATGAGAATTTTGATTAAACTCCAAAATGTCTGGCACAGTGTCTGCTAAAGTGGAGGATAAGTGATTGCTCTTGTGAGAAGCCTGTTAATTCATCATGAATTTCACTGGCTCTTTTTTTTAACAGCTGGAATGTGCAAAAATGTTTGAAAACTGGCAACACAGAATTATGCAGTTGCTCTAAATGTGCAGGAAAAAAAATCTATAGCTTCAAAATATGGCAAAACCAACAAACGAGTTCCTAGAATTTCTACAGAAGTTGGGTAATCTATTAAACAGATCATAGCAATGGGGAAAATTTATCGTGTTTCTGTTTATTGATGTGAAAATAACAAGAGCCAGATTTTCAAAATGGGCCTTGATTGGGTACCTGTTGTTCTGCATGTGCAAATCAAGTAGTTAAATATTTGTCCATGATTTGTTCTTGCCAGTATCATTTCCTTGTCCAAATATAGGTTGTTCTTCACAAAAACAACTGCAAATTTGGAGATTGGATATAGAAGTCCCCTTGGAAATTTGGCTCAATAAATGATGAGACTGTGGTGCATTGTTTTTTTTCCATATTTCACAGTAAAAATCTTTATCCAGATTGCCTGCTGAAACAATGACTCTAATTGCCAAGACTGATTTCTTCAGTGTGTAGTACTAAAATTCTGCGTAAAGGACCAGATCACAGTAGGTGCAGCACAGCTTCAGCTCCCATTTCCTTAGTTTTCACATGTACATCACTGCTTTTTCTTATATGAAACTTGTTCAAAAGTGAAAAGGTTTTTTTATCACTTCATATCTTCTAAAAGAAAAAAAAAACTTGAATTCTGTATTTAAAAACTGTAAGGTCATTCTAAAGCAGAAGTGCTGGGCATAGTCAGCTCCTGCTGTCTTAGTTGTAAAATGACAAAAAAAGTAGTTATCACTTTGGGATAGGTAAAAGTAAAGGAAACTAAGGACTTAGTCACTGGGAGCAGAAGATACCATAGTAGCTCATAGAATCAGATGTTTAGTATGGCTGACCCTAAATTTTTGCAAGAGGAATGTATTATTCCTAGTAGATATGAAGGGATTGTTTATGTTGGAGCAAGCTCCCCTAAGAAGAAATTACAGAACAAATTGACTTTTATTAGTAAATGTTTAGGATTGGGAAT